AGTTTGAAAATGCAACTTTTATTCTCTGGGCATCAACCCATGCCTTGTGAGAAGATTCAATTGACCACAGATGTGCACACCGCCCTTAGCAATACAAACTTTTCCATACTAACTTCCACTTGGGGAACAAATGCATTCCCCCTGGATGGTTTATGTATGAGACATATCCATCCTGAAAAACACATGACAATAACCTGGTGTCAATGATTGTCTTCTGGACAACTGTCAGATCAGCAGTCTTCCCCATGATTGTGTAGCCTAGTGAACCAAACTGAGACACCATTTTGAAGGCTCAGGAAACCTTTGCAGGTGTTTTGAGTTGATTAGCTGATTGGCATGTCACCATATTCTAATTTGTTGAGATAGTGAATTGGGGGGTTTTTGTTAAATGTGAGCCAAAATCATCACAATTAAAAAAACCAATGACTTAAACTACTTCAGTCTGTGTGCATTGAATTTATTTAATACACGAGTTTCACAATTTGAGTTGAATTACTGAAATAAATGAACTTTTCCACGACATTCTAATTTATTGAGATGCACCTGTATATACTCAACCATGTAGTGTATGAATTATATAAGGTTATTTTGTCATTCATAAACTGAGTCTGATAGTCCCTCCCCCTTCACTACGTAATTAAAGTTGCGACAGTTGAGTGTATGAAGTGTTCAACATTCCACACTTTGTTTTTTTTTTGGTTCTTTAAAGGCACAATATGTAATTTTTCGCCACTAGAGGGCGCGTATTCAAAATAAACGGAGACAAAGGCGTAGTTTGATGACACCGTGACTGAGTGTGGAGTCATGGGAGTTGTGGTCTTCATCCCCACAGCCGATGCAATACGACGGGACTCGGGTAGAAATCATGTTCATGGATGAGCTAATGATTTATTAACGTATTAGAATGAAGCAGGGTGAGGCTGAAAGCCGTCGAAGCGAAACAAGGCCGCTGAACGAGCGGGACACACCCCTCGAAAGCAGCAGGGTTTTTATTATGCCACAGTCGAGTGCTTTCGCTCCTTCTGGTCGTGCGTATGTGGGGTAAAGCAGCGCTGTTTTATCATACTAGATACGTTTGAACATTCTGTTATAATGCTACTCGTCACCGGTCTATTAAAACACACAACATATTAAAGCGTCTTTGGTGTTTCCATGTTTTCTACAAAACAAATCGAGGGGTTATGATGTCATTGGCAGGCGACAAAATGACACTATGGACACGGTCCGTGTCACTAGTTAAAATTGCTTATTTCTCTGGATTTAAACATTCTTCGAAACATTTGGGATAATGTAAGTACACACGTCAGCAAAATATATAACACTGTTCTAGTGGTTTTTGGATATTTTAATTAAAAAATCTTATATATTGTGCCTTTTAAGTGCATCATCCTGGTATTTAAAGTGCACTTTTTCTCTTTGGAATTTTCAGTGTGAACGCACTACTCACACGATTTATACTACAAAACGTCATAGAATAGTGCATAAGTATGCGATTTGGGACGCACCTATGGACATAGTGTCCGTGACGTCACCCGTAGGTTTCCGAAGAGCGTTTTTGAAGCCTAAAGTAGGCGTAGCCGTCCATCGCCATCTTGGCAGCGTGTCACTCCCGGATAATTGAAAATGGGCAAAGAGGCGGGAGCTGGTTGCTGAA